TGTAATTGATAACATAATTTTTCCTACAGTTACCTAACAATGTACATGTTCTCTCACTGATTTGAGAAAGCAAAGTGGCCAATTTGCTCATCAGTGGGACAATGTTAACATTGTCTCACTCCAGATTTGCAACGTGAATGCACGAAATAGTGAGTGCGTAACGACGTATGCGCGCGAAATACGTTGGCAGCACTGGCTATAAATCAGCTGGTCAGCTGGACAAGGCGGTCAGCTGTTGTACTGTTGTATCATTAAATTTCATATTAAAAGTTCATTTCTGTGTAAAAATATGTTAGGTTTTTTTACTAATTTATTTGTTTTATGGTATCTGTAGGAAAAATATAATGTGCAACTTGAGTGCAAAGTGCAATTGCTCACTAGTTGCACAAATAACTATTTAATGATATTAACATTGTTATTGCTTTGGATCATTATTTGCTTCTAATAATGCTGTTAATTCATTGTTAATTGTTGTTTATTAATGCTAACATTTTGTAAATTCATCTCTTGGCAAACACGTTTGAAATAGCAATGATTAGAGTGAGTTAAATTCAATAAATTAATCAATATGATTTTAGGGTAAAAGAGGCCAATTTATCAACCTATCAAGCAATTAATTTCATTAATGCATAAAACACCAGTTCAAGGTGGCTTCCAGCGACAACTTCAGTCTCCTAAGGAACATCTTCCCAGATTCTATGAGAAAAGTTATAAAACCACAACGGGTTCTAACAAAGTTTTAGACAAAACTAAAAACTTACACTACTAAAAATGTTACAAACATCCAAACATGACGTTCCAGCATTCCCTGAGAAATAATAAGAACTCAGCTGTTCCTAGCTGACATTTTGTAATTTCAAAACACAATTTCAAGATCCCTGGAGGAGATGACTTGGTCCAAGAGGCTGTAGGAAGTGAGAGGTCACACCATCTCGTATCTCTAGATCTCGCTGATAACTGATCCCAGAGATAACAATCATCATGATTTACGGCTGTCGGCTACCGTGTGAAAACGAGAAGGAACAATAAAAAGTGTCAGTTTGTTGGCGATAAATTCAGCCTCTTCCGAGCTGCGTTAGAACTGCTCGTGTTTGGCCACTGAATAGATGGAGCTTCGCGACAGGTTCATAGTCTAGGAAAAACAAAACTAGCTCAAATTGGAAATAGAATAATTTTGGGTGTGGATGTTGTAGCGTGATTAGTAGGATTAGGTGATAGATATCATATCATTTGGTATTCAATGCAGATAGTTTTAACATGGTTATTGATAAAAAAGTCCAAGTACATTTATTTAATGTACATTTATTAATGTAATATTCTTAATACAATAATAAATGTACATGTAAAGTTACTGTCGCTACGCATACTTTAAACCATCAGTGAAGTTTCATTTAATCATATTTTTTCTTTGGAGTCCATAGAAAATCTACTTGGGAAGTAGGTTTCAGTAAATTGTTTTCATGTTCCTTCTGTTTTCAAAATCTATGTTGCTTCCATATAGAGCCATTGTTCTTCTTTACAGTTCTACAGCTCTTGGGAATCGTTCATACAGATGCTTGTGTTCCTTATGCACAGTTCTTTTCCACCTATTCCGTTTTATTTGTTCCTTTGATATGCGTTTTCAACCAAAAGTTCTTTATGACACACACCTCTTATTTAGCCTCTTATTTCTTTTCTTTACTACCTAAATAGTACTTCTCTTTCACCCAGTTCTACTGTTTCATACCCTTACGATTCTCATACCTCTGATTTTATTTTGCAGTCTGTTCATTAATTCCGTTCCGCCCATTTAGTCACTTCAGGTTCTTTCCTAACTATTCTTCTGCCCTTGTCACGAAGTTTTTTTTCTATGCTTATAATTTTGTTTACAATTAAATTCCAGCATTTCATCTGCAACACATTATCTCTAAATCATACACATTACAAAATTACAAGTGTTCTTTCCCGAACCATCCTTCTGATCCTTCCTGTTTAGATCTTCTTCTCCCCCACAAAGCTACTTTTCCCCCAAATCACCCTTAAGTTCCTTTCCCAGACAGTTTTCCTTTCAACCCACACAATGACTCTATTTTATCCTAAGCTATTCTTCTGACCCTTCCCCATGCAGTAGCTCTACACCCCTCTCGTCCACTTACATGTGGGTTTCAATTTGCTCTTCTGTTCCTCCCCACTTCGTCCTTCAAATCCTACCGTAATTCACCCAGACTTTTCCTAGGTTTCTTTACCAGACAGTTCTCCTTAACCACCCATACAGTTTTGCCTGTGTTTCTGCTAGATTTTATTATGTTCCTACCCAGCCCTTCAGCGTAACCTAGAGCTACTTAAGTTTCTCCTTAGTCATCGTCAATTTCCCAGTTCTTCTCACCCACCCCAAATTACTGTTTACCCCAAACCTTTCAGGATCCTCCCCCTTACGGTTCTTCTCATCCGTTCATTAACTTTAGCTTCTCCCAAAGCTAAATTCCTACCTATAAATATATAAATTTCTATAATTGATTAAATTCTTATCTAATCAGTTTATACACATACCCCTACAGATAGCCTATAGTCTATATGCTACCTGTAATGATACCTGTCTTTTGACCCTCCATTTGACTAGCCCGGGCTTTAAACCAGTGGTCTTGTCGAGGTTGAGGTTTAAAGGGGCAGGAGACACATTCCATCGTACAGACTTTAGTTCCCCTAACCTTGACTTCGCTCATCCATTTACTCTCCACCAACTCTTACAACTACTTCCCAGCACTCTTCTACTCCACACTACATGCAGGTTCAGGTATCACCTTCTCGCTAATCTGCGACCTCGGTTTTTCCGTCACGAATCTCTCGTAGAACAACAAGTCCGGCAGGTGGAAGAATTACCGTCTCCCGCGGAGCAAACAATTACCAGGACAGCATGCGCATAAATAGTGAACCAGCCGTAAATCGAGGCGAAGATACGAGCCTCCGTAAACGACCCATTACCGGCTAATGCTGGCCAAACATGTGACGTGGATTGGGTGATCGGCCACGCGCCTTCAACCTACAGCGTGGCAGCTTTAGGAGGGAACTGCCGTAATTGGCGGGAACTGTGGGAATTGCTTTGGTATTTCGTTTAGAAGTGAAGGCAGATTATAGAATTGACGAGTTATTGCTCATACTTTGTTTGCAAATGGGATTTGGAAATGGACAAATCTGACTGTACTACACACTACACCGTAAATAGGAATCTTGAAAATCCGTAAATGGCTTAGTAAAAAAGTGTTTGCTTTCTTCATAGATAGTTTTGTAGAACCCTCCTACACATGGAAATTCATCCCCCCATATGTTGTCTGACAAAACCCATTGTTATCAACAATGAAATGAATTCATGAGGAATTAAGGTATATGGACATTAGATCACGATTCATCTCCAATAAAGTAAATAAAATCTTCAGGGATATTGCTAGCGTTCCTCACACTATAAATTATAGTGTTAAAAGGATGAGACATCACTGACAGCAGTAGTCAGCTGAGCTAGAAAAGATCGTCAAAATGTCTTGGTCCAACTTCCTGAGAAAACTACAACAACCACAACGAAAGTAAGAACAACCACACGCTAATTATTACATCTACCCGCAACACAGCCAAAACCCTCCCTACACCACAATGTCAAATCCTAATACCCAGCCTTTGCTTTATCCAACGCATAAAAAACACCCAAGGCACACACAGGACAACCTCAATGTGCTACACCCAGATAAATTTCACCAGATGCCAGGTAAACTAATCCTTTATCAACAAAAACAATTCGACGCCAAATCATCTTGTTTTAGATAACTTAAATATTTACCTCATTAATGTACAGTCAACATCACTAATCCTAAATTACACTCATCCTTCATTTCTCGATGAGAACTGTAAAAGCAGATGGACTGAGTTTTTTCAACAAAGACCCGTCGTCTCGTTATGCCCCAAGGACCGTCTGTTTATAGACTGGTGTTATGGCACTCATAAACCTGGTAATTATAACAACTCGGGCTGTGTAGAGTGTTGGCATTTTATGGGTTTATGAGCTAAGGGTCTTCTCCCACACCGACCCTACTCCGGCCACTATTGTTACATTGTTTTGGTACGTGTGGAGTAAATTGAAAATGTTTGGTTGAAGTTCTAATTTGGGTTTGTGTCTCGGACTTTGGTGCGAGAGGGCTGGATATGAGCCACGGATATTAGAACAGAAACTGCATGGCTCATGAACACAAACAAATGACATCTCTAGCTATAAAATTAGCCGTAACAGCTGGTTTGCAAGTTTAAATACAAACATGTTTACTTTTAGGCCAGTGACGTAATTTGTTTATGTTTATGATCCATATCTGTGACAAATTATTAAATGCTTAATAATATCTGGTAGGTCGTAAAGTATGAATATATTAATTACGTTAAACTGATCCGGTGTTTGAGAAAACCACGGTGGTTCAAACATTTAACATTCATACACTTTAATGAAGACGTTGATAGTGTTTTTAAAGTGCCAAATAAATAAGTAGCAGAGTGACTAACTAGTCTTATCCTCCAACCAGAAAGTCGCCGGTTTAATCATGAAATATGCCAGAAACTTTTCAGGGACTCAAAACTCAACCAGCTAGGCCTATCCTGGACTGGGCTTTATTAAATGGTCATAGACATATACAATAATAATCTCGGAGAAACCTCAATAATATTTTTCTCTGCAAAAAAAATAAGGGGATAGGAAAATAATAAACAAGTAATCTAAGGTAATTTATAGAATACACTATCTTGATAACTTTTAAGGTTTTTGGATTTTGTTTTTCTACTTCCCCTTGACTTAAATAGAATACCAACATTACTTCTAAACAGGGCAAATATGTTGATGTTAATACAGTAGGGCCTATTAATGTTTAGTAAATTTACATGAGTACTACTACCAAACAAAACTGATCACCTTGCACATTATTAATGGCTTTGATCACAAAAAAAAAAAAACTGTTTGGCATGATCATTGACTGTAGGCTATACTATATACCACTTTATGGTGAGTTAATCGTATGATTTACACCAATCAGGCATTGAGCATTCTTCTGGTTCTGGTCTTATTTTATTTTCTGGCCTCTCCAGGTGTTTTTTCTTCATGAACGATATCACGAAATGCCTCTTTGGAACTATTCTTCTGCTGACGAGGAATTTGGCAAACCTCTTTGCCGTTGCCATCATTATATGGGGGACCACACGTTCTGAAACAATTTTATTGCCATTATAATAAAACATGCAATCAAGAATCAAGAATCAAGAAGTTTATTGGCCATTAAATACAATGTACAAGAATACATTAGCGTACAATAGGCTTCGTCAAATAGTTTTAGTACAAAAAATTCTTAATTTTCTAGTCTAAGTCTGAAATGTACATTTAAGGTATTCTTCAATGCTATAAAATGCTTTTTGTTTTAGCCAGTTTGAGATAGTTTCTTTGAATTTTATAAGAGGTAGATTTCTTACAACTAATGGTAACTTGTTAAATAACAGAAATTGCTGGTAACTGTGACCAGGCCCGCCGAGAGGGGGGGGGCCAGCGGGGGCATTGCCCAGGGGCCCGGGCCTACAAGGGGCCCGGGCCCGGGCCGGGCCTGGTCTAAAATGTAGTATGTGGGGGAGTGGAGTGGGCCCGCGGCAACGATTGCCCAGGGGCCCGAGATTTCTCTCTGCGCGGGCCTGTAGTTCTAAATGATTTGTGAAGGCGAATGTAAGGTGTTACAAGATTATGTTTGTTTCTTGTGCTGTGTTCATGTTGATTACATTGTTCACTAAAATTAACTATATTTTCCTTAACATAAACCAAATTACAAAAAATATACATACATGGTAACGTCATTATTTTAAGACTAATAAAACTATCTGTACAATGCTCTTGATTGTTTTCTAAGCCTACCATAGAACGAATGACTTTCTTTTGCTATATGAATACTCTTTTTGCATCAGTGCTATTTCCCCATAAGCGCAGGCCATAGTTCAAATGAGAATTGAAAACACCATAATAGACCATTAATAATACATCAGAACTGACACACTGTTTGAGTTTCCTCACTAAACAAGTAGCTCTAGCAAGTTTTTTACATACAAGGTCAATATGGCTACTCCAGGTTAACTTGCTGTCTAACACAATTCCTAACAGCTTAACAGGTTTTACCAGATCTTCATATTCATGACTAATACTATTTTTGAGTGTGAAGAGAATGTTTTCAGTTTTATTTTCATTCAGGAGTAGGTAGTTTGCACCATACCAAACTTTGCAGCAATTTTTTTAGGAACTAAGCTGCTTTAAAACATTATGGATATTTACACCTTTTTCAAGAATAGTTGTGTCGTCAGCATATAAAACAGAAAAACATGGAACATTTACAGCAAAATCATGGCTGGATACAAATTTTCTTGCAAGAGAGTTGTGTTCTGTGAGTGGGTAAATGAAGTAGTAATTCAGTTTAACCATTGACAAATAGAATTAAATATAGACTTACAGCAGTGCTGCGGTTAGCATAATGTTCTGGCATCCACCACTAGAAGAGCCGTGTAGTGCTCTGTGGCACCGTGTAGTTACCATAGCGCGTGCGCCGTAACTACACGGCACTACTACTGGTGGACGCCAGAACATATAGTAACCGCAGCACTGCTGTCGGTCTATTTAATTCTATTTGACTATGGTTTAACCTTCGTATTGTTAGTGTATTTAGTATTTAGTATACTCCTTATTGATCTTAAGCCAAATACTGATTTGTCTTTAGTGTTATGATAAATACAATTTTTAATTTCTGTTTTACTCACCAGGGAATTCGCCGATGAATGCGATGTCAATACATCTCATAGGATATCCTTTTTTGAATCCGCTTCTGTCAGGCTCGAACATCAGACCTCGTCCCTCGTACACCTTGCCACTGCCTCCAATCAGGAAACTGCACACAACACGCCTCTGAAAACACACAAATACTTTTGGAGAAATTAATCAAAACCCCCCAAAAAGATGTCCTAAACTTCTGAGTGTTATGCTATATACATTGATCTACAATGATGAAAGAGAATACTTTCTCTTGTATTTCAATCGGAAAGCTATAAGACGAGGTTCTATGTTTTGAAATCATCTCATTGGTAACTTTTTTACGTTTGTAGCGCTCAGAAAAGAAGTTTTAATATTAAAGTTATTAATATAAACACTGTAAATCCATAAACAAATATAATTAAACATAGACCTACAGAAATGCTGTGGTTAGCTTAAGTTCTGGCACCAACCGCTAGGAGTGCCGCGTAGTTACAGCGCACACGCTACTTAAATACACGACACTCCAAGCGGTGGACTCCACGACGCTAATTGCAGCACTGCTGTCGGTCTATGTTTGATTTATTTGTCTATGGTAAAACATACAAACACTTTCTCAAATGCAAATACTTGTTTAATATTAAAGCAAATACTTATAAAATCAAAATAAATCAAGTAAATACAGAAATATAACTAAAAACTAAGTCTGTTGACGTACAGATATGTCTAAGATACGTCAAGAGTATTTATGTCAAATCCCTTAATACATATTCACGAATCAGCACTCTACATCCTTAAAAGAAAGTTTTTCACCTGTGCGGCAAGTCCGGGTAATCCGCCTTGATATAATGTGTCTGATAATCTCGAAGGTACTTCTCACACTGTTCGTGGTTGCGACATTTATCTGAACCTGTGTAACTCCACCAAAGATGTGTCAGGGGACGTCCCAGCGGCCGCAACTGCTCTGGTGGCTCCACGGCGCCCCACTCTCGTCGTGTCACCCAGGGACGACGTGCCACTCTGTAGCTACACACTGTGTAACAGACTGTCTAAACATATACTGAAAAACAGAGGTAATTATTTGGTGAACATTAACGGACTCAAGTGTTGTAAGACATAAAACACGGCTAGCTTTAGTTTTAACTGAAAGAAAAAGCACCCAACACCAATATAATATACAAAGTAGCAATATGTTAACAGTGTACAGTATTATAGCGGATCCTTCAATCTTTCACTGCATGCAATATGTAGTGCATTGTTGTATGCTAGCCAGATTTGGAAGGCGTAAAAAATATATAGTATGCTTATGTCAGTCCTTTTGTGAAGTTTTTCATTTCGTGTATGGGTTTATATGATTTAATGGATTTTTATTAACACTTTAAATGGTAGGTAATCAAAATTGTATATTGAACATACACATTATTAAATACTTATTTCTAATTATATTTTTAAACCTTCAAATTGTTTATTTCACAAGGGTTTGTATTAAACCGTAAGTAAAAGTCAACAATACAAATGTTCAGATTTAGTGTTTAAATTTTCGGTATTATTTTTTTTCATTTATTCCATTCAACCTACATAATCTTTTTAGTTTATTTACAAAGTTTCGCTAAATAACCTACCATGGTTAACTTACTTTACTTTCAATATATTATGCCACTTAGTCAAATAAATAACGTAGTGTACTTACTTACTTTTAGATGCTTCTAGTAAAAAAACTTTTTTATCGTGTAATCCTGTAAAATATTTAAACTATAAAATCTTTAATTAAAATTCATATTTTATTTCAACTTCTCATTACTATTCACAAGTACATAAAAGTATTTCTGTAAAAATCAAAACACGACTATCTTAAAAATTATGTACACTGGTCAAATAGTATCTTATCATACCATTAGATATTAGTTATAATTTAAGATAAAGATAACACAATAAAGCTACAGGCTCTGTGTTTGATATATTAAATCTGTTATACTTTGCATTATTGTTTTCCAGCTAGGCTTATATAATATGAAAAATAAAGCTATTGTTGGATAGTTTCTGTTTTTTCTCCTTCTAGGTTCTAGCCCAGAATTTTTTTCCACATTATTTTAGGCTAGGTCTAGAGATGGTTGCAGCAATATTACTTACACTAAGTGTCCACTCTTAAGTGACACTTAATTATTGAAACTTTGTGTTAATGGGGTTTTCGGCCCATTGGTGATCTGTAGGATTTGAACCCAGGACCCAGGGATTGCAGTCCTGCACTCTACCACTCACTAAACCAGTCTGCTTCCATTGTTAGATAGTAGGCCTACAGTAATATTATTAAAAAAAAAACTATTTTGTGGCTTTAACAGAGATCTCTCAAATTAGTTGTGAAATGTGATCTCAAATAAGAGAGGAAAATGTTGTTGACTTCAATGTCCTGTAGACTAACCCTCTTGGCAGATGTCAATCATAGAAATTAAAAATGATTAATATGTTTTAATAAGATAAAGAATGAAGATATAATATTTAAACTAATTAGTGGTGAATGTTTGTTGAAATTATATAAAGATTTTAGAAATTAAAATGTTGAACAATATAAATTTGTTTCAACATATTTATTTTATCAAACTATTACAGCCTAAATTTGAATCCATCTATTGATTGTGATTGTTGGAATTAGTAATAACAAAAAAAGAAACTAAAATATATGTCCATAAGACAAAGAAAAACATAATACAAAAAGGAACAACTAAACAGTGAAACAATCCTTGAAGTTAAAGGGGTCCAATAACAACCCTAACAATAGAAAGATTTATTATATCAGTTTATTAAGTACAATATCAAATATCAATGGGTATATCTTTTGGTTGGTTGTAGTCTGATATCATGGTGGCATTCCACATAACATGGTTCTTGTACATTCCATTTTCCAACAAGTCAAGCAACAGTTTGAATGGTTTTGCCTCCACCGCCTTCTTAGAAAAGTCTGAAAAGATTTTGTAAGCATTAATGTAACAGACAAGACTGGATATGCAATCTATAGTCTGCATGATGGAACCTGTCCCTTCCCTTTGTTTTCTTGAGACTAGCCTGGGCCATTGGTCAGTTCCCAGATAAGCCCACTGGGTCGGTACGGCGGTCTTGGAATTTTTTAGAGAGGGTGCGCGCATTCGCGCATTGGATCAGGCATTCCGCCATCCACCTTTCACCAAAACTGAAGTCAGTTTGGGAGAGGATCTGTTAAAAGGGGGGAGAAATTGTGGTATGCATTTTTAATAGTAAAAGAAGGAATGCTAAGTTAATAAAAAGGAGGTTTTGGATTCACAACTAAAATTGATTTGTGATGAATTCCACACTTTTTTCTTAGATCTTATGGACGATGACGTTCAGTTTTTGAATACTTTTGGATTCACGACAAGATCAAAACTCTATTGCTGATGCTGGAAGCAGAATTATCTAGAGACAAAACGAATTTTTGTCATCCAGTGCAACCAAACTGAACAAGAGCACAACAGAGAACAGAGAGCAGACTGCGCAGAACGCTGCAAATGCCGTACCGACCGTCCCGAATGTCCGAAGCCTGCGCACACTGGATTGGTCGGATGGAAGTGTCCTGGAGTTCATAGCTCCAGACTTGTTTATCGAAGTGTTACTTTCATGCCCATTTGATTCAATGTTTTTAACTTTTGAAAAATCCCGTACCAACCGTACCTTTATACTATTATACTTTATACTTTATACTTTTCAATGAAATTGCGACCATACAAAGTAGGTACAAAAAATACCGACCGTACCGTACCAACCCAGTGGGCGCGAAGCTTTAGACGGAGAGTCAGAAAACAGGTTCGATCATACAGAGTGTAATAAATTATTGTTGTAGCAATTGTTGCTATAGTTCTGGCAGCCAAACCGGATCCACCAACTACCAGCTATTACGACCAGAAACACCAGAAGTCAAAGGTTTTCCTTTTCTGTTACACTCTTACTGCCTGTCAATAACTTAAAATAAACTCAAGCAAGTCATTTTTACTATTTTACGATAAAGTAAGAAAAATGTCCCACTTACCACCATAGTAACCGATGTGAGCAACTTTGAGGCACCTCCTGTCATCAGTTTCTTGATACTTGGGTATCCAAGCGCTCTCCCAAGTCCAACCCCGACCTTCATACACCAGGCCATCCCCTCCGATCAGGAAACTGCGGACAACCTAGTGTGGCCTTAGTTATAATAAAACTATTGAATGTGACACAATATGGTATCAAATTGTACTGAACATTATTGTATTTCATGAAGTACCTAAATGAACTCAGAACAACCCCACAGAGAGTTATCTTTTTTGCGAATTTCCCATATAGGGAATAAGCTATCACCGTAGGGCTTTGGAACCATAGAACACAATTCAAACTTGACAGAAGCATCAATCCCCCCCCCCCCCTACACATAAGAGTGCTATTTTTTTGCATATAGTTGAAAATCAGCTAGGTTTAATGAAGTAGGAGAACACACTGCTCTTGTCAGATTTGAACTAGCATAGTAGATAATTTAGTGAGTACCCAAATTATCTAGTATCCAACAACTACTACTGTATGTTGAATACGCTACTTTACTGAAAACCCTCGAATAACTTTCCTTACGCTGAAAGTATATTTTGTGATACATTATCAAACCATTCAAACGGATTTCTAGAACAAATAATTTTTGTTATGTGGCTTACTTGTAGACTATGTCGGCATATCCAAGGGCGATATGAGTTCGCTGGATGGTACGAAGGATTCTTATGCAATCTTCCTTCTTAGAGCAAGAACTGGTCCCTGTGTGAGTCATTAGTACAAACTTCACAGGTTCCGTGTATCGGAATAATTTCTCTGGTAACTCAATCTTGCTCCATTCGCTCCTTGGAACTATCGTTACTTCCGGTGGGCCTTTGCCTTTTCCCTTGCTCGACAAAAACTCCTTTATAGCTTCTTCCTCGTCACGTATTGCTTTTTCATCTCTTGGTTTTTCATCTGTCGGTTTTTTATCTGATGGTTTCTTATCACTTATGTTTTCGTCTTTTGATTTTTTATTTCTTGGTTTTTGATCTGTAGTCTTTTCAAATATTTCATCTTCAATGCCAAGTTTCTCCCTGACTTTGGGGTTTTCAAATCCACCTTCCATAGGCTCAAATATGTTAAGAGTTACTCCAAGTCCTTTCTTATCTTCATCGGTCATTTTTAACTGTAAATAATTTGTTAATGATAATGCTTATCTTGAAAGTTTTATTTTATTACTGAAAGAATTTTGTAAGTAAAATTTTATCATTCAATATGTATTTTATGTACGATAACAATTAAGTAACTTAGTGTTTAACTCCAGTACAAAAAATTGAATGGGTGGAAAAAGCCGACAGTTTTTTTGCTATTGTTACCAACACATGAATTTTTTTTAATCCAGCCGTGGTTTTATGTAATTCCTCTGAATGTTTAACAGATTTTAATGATTTTGAAGGTGATATGTAGGGTTAATTGTAAAGTTATTTTGCTGAAGACTTTAATACGGCCGGTTAACGGAAATCACAATCTTTGCTTGATTATTAATTGAATTTTTAATTGACACATAGTAAAATCTCACACTCACCTGTCTTGTGGTTGAAACAATCCACCTTCTTTAAATAAAGGTTTGATGTTGAATTGCTTTAGACACTAAAATATTTATCAACACAAAGATAGTTCATTCACTTTTACCAATGCAGTTTCAAAACCAGCAATAATGATAACATTATTGTTCTTGTAGAATGCACATTATTTTTATCATGTTAATAAATTAGTACTTTACCTAGATTAGAAAACGCATCGATCTAAAACCCTCAAAAAATATAAATTAATTACTGTAACGGGCATATCCCAGGGATATTCATATATAGGGTGACCGTTAAGTCTTAGGACGACTTTATAACTTTTAAACGACAAACGATATCACAACCACATTTGGTATACCGTTACTGGAAATTGTAAACTACTTTTCTGTGTACATGGTGGTCGGATATCACATTTGGGGGACGGCCCGTCGGGGGTCAGAAGAAAACTTTAATGACGGCCTATGTTGAGTTGTACATCATTTTAAAGGTCTACTTCAACTGAAAACAATGCCGCAAACCGCATTTCAAAAGGTTGATCCTGCGCAAAATGGCAGATGTTCAAAGATTTTCAAAATTATCCTATTTCTTTAAATTAAAACACTTTTTAAAATCTTTAAACAACTGTCTTTTTTTAACGGATGGTCCTTTTGAAGTACGGTTTGCAGCATTCTTCTTTGCTTAAAATTCCCTTTAAAATGATCCCCATAACTTCACATTCAGTGATCCAAATAACTCTTCAGGGCGACGGCCCACAAGGAGTCGGAAGTAAATCTTGAATGGAAGCATGAGATATGCACATCAAATTAAAGGTATTTATTAATAGAATACAATGCCGCAAACCGTACTTCAAAAGGACCATCCGTTAAAAAATGACAGTTGTTTAAAGATTTAAAAAGTGTTTTAATTTAAAGAAATTGGCTAATTTTGAAAATCTTTGAACATCTGCCATTTTGCGCAGGATCAACCTTTTGAAGTGCGGTTTGCGGCATTGTTTTCAGTTGAAGTAGACCTTTAAAATGATGTACAACTCAACATAGGCTGTCATTAAGATTTTATTCTGACCCCCGACGGGCCGTCCCCCAAAGGTGATATCCGACCACCATGTACACAGAAAAGTAGCTTACAATTTCCAGTAACGGTATACCCAATGTGGTTGTGATATCGTTTGTCGTTTAAAAGTTATAAAGTCGTCCTAAGACTTAACGGTCACCCTGTGTATGCCATGGGATTTTGGGACGTTTTGGGAACTGTATGGGATTTCCTGAGGATGTTCTGTGCTGTGTTGGGTGTTGTTTATGTTTCTATTAATAAATAATAAACACAATGTTAAAGAAATGGTTGAAACACCCTGAAATCCCATTATTCTATAAACAAGGTTTCTATTCTACTCCCTGTTAGTTTTTTGTTACATTTTGTTTTATTTCAAACTGTAAAAGAGGGCTTTATGAGAGTTATGGTGGTAGAAAGATTACACAAGTTGATAATAAAATCCATTCCTTAGTAATTATGCAAAAGATTGTCATACAAGCGACACTTTGTTGTTGCTGCAATTTATATTAAAAACCCCTCTTCACTATTCTAAGACAGCATGAAGGGTCAAAGAGCAGAGCTTGACATGAACAAGCTAAGAATATGTTTTGTCACCGTATCAAAATGAGTCTTAGTTGATTCATAAGCTATGCCATATTTACATAGAAACTGGTTTATCAATTAACAAAAACGGCACCGTTGTAACTTATTTATTTTGGAACTAAACCTCTTGCTTTTGGATAGTTTGGGGTACTTGTAGTGAACTTCTGAGTTCTACTGGATGTTTGATGGAAAATGTCTTTGAATATTAACTCCAAAGAATCCGATGAAGTTGTGGTGAATTTATGAGCACTTAAACACATTTTGGCATCAATGTCAATATCTTCTTCAAGTTGTAAGGCAGCCTTAAAAGCAGTATTCAACCTAGTTGGTAAACTTGTATTTAGATACTCTTTCGTTGTTGGAGGAGGCCTAATAAGATCTAAATCTAGGATATTGTCTCCCTTGAAATTATGAGGTTTAAGAATTCTATTGTCTTTTAGACTTTGTCTAAATCTATGTCTGGTTCTTTTTGACACATGTTCATGACTCTTATTGTTTCTGAAACATCTAGGTTTTGAAATTCCTTCAACAAACTCATAGTTTGGCTTTAGCTGCCATGAATCTAAGTTCGGATCATAATACATCCTAGGGTAAAGTTGTCTACGTTTTTCTTTTGGGATGAAATTCTCTATTATCAAGAGTTTTAGCTTGATGTCTTTCAGAATTTCTTGCTGGGTGATCTCAAGCTCTCGTCTGTCTTCATTATACTCGTCCTTCGCATCTTGTATCTCCTGGTGAATTTCTTGCAATCTAAAGTATTTTTTTGTTAAATCCTTTCTTTTATACTCGACTTCTTGTTTGAGGTTATAAAAGTCCTTTTTTATCCCTTCTGTGAATTCCTTTTCCTTTTCGATCACTTGATGAATTTCCTCTTCCCGTTCCTTAATTCGGTTTATTTTTTGATCACGCTTTTCTAGTGACTTTTTCTGTTCCTCGGTGTACTCAAGAATGTTCTTGTTTCCTACTAAGAGGTTACTTTCCATTAAATCTATTTGTTTCTTTAAGTCCATAATAGAGTCATTTTCTTTTATTTTGTTATTACCATGGCATTTTGTGACGTCAGTTATACTTTTTTGAACTGAAACTTCATTATTTCCTTTTGTTATCAAGTAATTCTTCTGTGAATCTCCAAATTCAGTTATTCTTGCATTACTATTACACAAGTTTTTCTCTGCTACTCTTTCTTGAAGCTGAGACTTAAGTATTTTTATTTCTTCTTGGTATCTTCTTATAAGAGTATCTACAGGGTTTTCATTAACTTGTGGAACATTCCTTATATTCTTTGCTCTAGATGCATAGCGTAGAGTATTTAAAGTTTCATCATAATTATAACAAGCGGGACCAATATTAGCTATCATAACAGTTTTGGAATTCCCTCCTAGAGAATCTTTCAATATACGTGTTAATTTAGAATCTCTATATGGAATGTAATTGCTTTTGTTCTCAGATAAAGCAGATATAACATTTCCCAAAGCCGATAGAGATAAATTGATTTTATTCGCTTCTTTTAGCCGGTCCCCCTCAGCACAAGTCTTATTTTGTCGCTCACTTCCAGCTAAGTCAACAAGATTCAGTTTTCCTACTCTAACTCTACCTTCAGACAAATCCTTCATCTCTACAGTGATCATAACAATCGCATGTGATCTGGAACTTCTTTCGTTTATGTCAGTCGAAGCAACAATTCTGTTTCGTCTTCCTGCTTTAATAATCTTATTTATTTCTCTTTGGCTTTTACAAACGTATGAACTTATATCTTTCACATATACCCCAGAATCTTTGCTTTCCCTAATCTCATATTTCTTGTCAATTTTCCTTTCAAGTAGATCTCTTATTTCATCTTTATATATTTCTAAATAGGATATACGAATAAGATACTGTGTATCACATGATTTAGAAATATTCTCAAAAATATTATGGAATGTTCTTGGAAGTATTCCTTTGTCGGTTTCACAGTCTGATGCCTCCATTGTGTAAGTTTTTCCTGAACCCGATTGACCAAAGACAAACACTGTTCCGTTGTACCCACTTAATACAGCATCCACTAAGGGTTGTACCATTCTATCATAAACTTCACTCTGACTAGCAGTCCCATCAAAGGTTGCATCAAATTCAAATGTTTTAGGTGGAGCTGAATTAGCTAGTCTTGGATCATAGAGTTTCACAGTGTCTGAAGGTTCAATTTTCACAACACAAGAGTAGTTTTTTGCAATTTCCTTGTCATTCATCGGTCTGCAACGTATCGCCACCTGAACCATTTCATTTCTCTGTGATATTGCATCATTATTCATTGTTGTTACTATTCCTGAATTTTCCGTATGCCTAATTATTTGGCTTATTTACAATAAAACATTTTTCTTTTGTTTTATCGTACGAAAGCTGTCAAGGAAGCTATGTAAGAGTATTCGCTAAAGAAACTAACCTTGGAAATAAATTAAATCTAGTTTCTGTGTTGTAAACAGATATTTTTTTATTGTTAAAAGAAAAAGAAAAAATTGAGCAACATATGATTCATCCAAGTTTTGCCAAAATATATCAGGTTTTATTTTTCCCACAACTGTAATTATTTGTTAAGCACCATTTTGCTTAAAGTGTTGTTGGTCTCGTTCTTGAGGTAAAAGTTTATATTAATCACGCTATATACATTTCCCCAGCTTGTGTAGCATTTTTAGGGGTTTTCATCTTAGATAATTTTATGTGGTTCGGATTCCACTATAAACTGTAGGTCCCTTGGTTGCCATTAGCTGTATGGGCTATTAATTAACAGCTGTGTCTAAGGAATGTCGGCCTTAGTCACTAACAAGACTACAAGATCGTGCCACTCATCCTACACTGCATCCCAATTCATATTTGGCTTAAAATACCTACTTTGTATGGTCGCCATTTAATAAGAAAGTATTAAAAGTAAAGTAAGTTATTAATTAGACTTCCAATTCCATTGTAAATTTTGAAGCTCATTTTCGTGTCTAGTTTATGTGCGGTGACACTGGGGGCTAGCGGCTAGTGTCGACAAAATTTTGTTTCTATTATTTTAGAGTTGTTAATTTTTATGAATTTTGCTTTCCCTATTTTTCCTACTGTTTGATCACATAACTAGAGGATGAGGAAAAATATAATGTGTAACACGAGGGCAAACAAAAGTACCTACCTTTGCTGTACTCGAGAAACTTTGCCACTTAGCACACCATGTTACGCAAATAACTATATAATTCCAACCCAATATTTTAATGAATCTAAAGAAAGTAAATACATTCTTGAATCCATTTATTATTATTTCAATATTCAATCTGTTTTAGCACGGCCACCTTAAGGGGAGCAGTGCGTGAAAATGCTCAAAAATTGACTTTTATTAAATGATGACAAAATATTGTGTATTTTGTGCTGTTTAAGAAAATATATAACACTTTATACATTGGATATTTTCTTACATAAGAAGGAATCTTTAATCCTCCATTAAGATAAATTAAGGAAACTACCAATTTTTTCGGGTTTTCCTGATTTACTAAGCTTGTACAGGTAGTTCCAGCTAAGTTGGCACTTGACCGATCGATAGAAATTCTCTACTAACGTGTGTCAAAAACATTGTCTGCAGTCATGCGGGTAGCATCAACTGTCCTCGCGGCCCGTGTGAAGGCACTGGAATGGATGAAAACACGTAATGCTATATTTATGTCTACATTAGTTAAAAGTTAGTACGTTAAACACTTCCACTTTTATAACATAAAATTATTAATAAATTTAAGCTTACCAATTTTTAATTACATACAATATTCTTTTGACTAAAAAAGACACATATATCAAATACCACTGTGATGCTAGGAAAGCTGACGACTTACTAATAAAGCAGAGTGTTTAGGTATTCCCCTAGGTTTGATAACAATACCACACTGTATTAGTTGTCCCCTATTAGTTTAGGAAGATGTTAGTCCTCTTTTTGAGGCACCAACCCCGTGAGTCAGCAGCGGAATGTTTGCAGAAAGATCTTTGCCTAGCTTCCACCCACCGGGCCTACACTGCCACGCCGTAGCGCGCCAGGCCCAAGTGCCAACTTAGCTGTAACTACCTGTAATAATCTTATCTTCAATCAAACTTCATATTTGCATTTAGGATAAAAAAAACTGAACAATTTGAGTACCCATAGTCTAATATTGTAAATAAAAATAATTTTCCCGGATTTTTGAAAGAGGGCTCTGTAGGATTCTACTGAGCCTGCCCTTCAAGGGTTCAAATGTGAATATCCGAAAGTTAGTTTTTATAAGTTTAGGTACCATTCTAAAGAAAACTACTTAACTCGTCAAGCCCAAATTTTACACAATACTTCCTGTTACCATGGTGAATAGTTTCATGCATTTTTAGAATGTTACCATTAATTTTACTTTAAAAATAAATTATTTATTATAAAAAAAACACAATTAAAAATTAGTAATTTTTATTTAATTTTACATTTAATAAACTATACCTAATTTCTTGTTTATAGTAGCATGAAATCATATAAAACAATCTAAGTAATGAATATAAAAAAAATTAAGTCAATACCTATAACGGTTTTAAAAATAAATGTACCTATCTAATCACATGTTTTCCCATAAGAATAACATGGGAGTCGTGGCGCACTGCTCCCCTTAAAAACCAGTCCAGGCCACAGCCTATGGTAGAATTGGCAACTTTGCAAGTTAGTGTTGTCTAGCGCTAGACGTCCCATTAGATAACATTAAATTCAAAATCTATTTTTGTAAATTAAATTGCAGTCAATATTTTCATAGCTCAGTAACCATTAACCAAGCTTTTGTATTCTAAAAAAATAAATAAATTACCATTAGCCGCCTACTAACAAAACAGCCTGTTGCTGTTACAACCCTACTTGCGATTTTGCCTGGAGTTAAAGGAGGCCGTGGTTTTAGACTCAATTATAATCTAAGGCACTTTTGACATCATTTTCATTCTTGACGAGATCTATAACTCTGTTATTTTAATGAGCAATAAAATTTATGATTTATACTTATTTTACAAGTGAACAATTAATTCAAGATTGTGATTTTTTTTACAGAAACGACGCGACGTGGCTTTTCTCGGATGTCTACTAGTAGCGGAGTATGTTTTATCTATGCTAGTAGTCACACATCAACATTGGTTTTTTTTCTTAGCCACTATTGTGAAACTACATGCCATTTTATTAAGCCTGCTTTAACAGCAAACTGTAGAAAGAAAAGAGTAAAAACCACTAAACCAGAGAGAAAAGATATTTAAAATGGCGGACTTTGTGTTTTGTTGTTTTTTGTTTTGATTTGAAATGTCAACCCGAAGTGTCTACAGCACTTTTTATGAATTCTAATTTATACTCACTTAAAGTTCCTAAAGATTTTGCTTAGGCCTATTTTTTCCAGTTACCCTTGTGTTCTACTAAATACTGATAAATAATTCCATTTATTAGAGTTTTTAATGAGGCCAATTTAAGTTTGATTAAGTTAGTTTTAGGTTATATCTACCTTGGCCTAACTTACACAACGTAAAGTTGATGACAAATCTAGCCTATCTGTAGGGATGTAAAAAGTAGGATCTTAAAAATGAATGATTCAAGCAAGCCTAATATTTCGACAAACGGGTCATATGGGGGCAGGAAAAAAGACTACAGCAGATGTAAATCTGAAAATGTCTGTGTTGGATTCATTTATGATGAAAACTTACTTGAAGAAACAGAGAAAATCCCAAATATAGGAGCTAGGGTATGTAATTTTTGTCTAAAAAACAAAGTATTATTGTTGTACCTGATATTTCAAATTACCGTAAGTTACTATCTTAAAGCACCAAAAGAAGTGCAAAATACACTAGGCATAGGCTACTTATTGCACTTCCAGACTTAACTTTTGGTTATTGTTTCTGACTGCCGATTCACTAATTCCTGGATGGTCTGAAGAAGGTACATCTTATCTTGTAACCCTATATACATTGCTATATAACTTTTGCTATAAAAAAGTTAGGCCTACTGTAGGCTACAGACAGTTTTAGTGATTACGGTGCTCATTCGCATTCTGTATGAAAAAAGGCCGCGCCTAGAGACCTATTGCTCGCAGCAGCTATCACGGTGATCTTAGGATGTCAAGAGGTGGAAGCGATGGCTTAAGGTTCGACCACTTCTTGCTTCGAGGAATAAGTTAAGTACATTGTAGCAGATTTACTACGGGACCTTAATGATGACGATCACGCTGACAATCCATAATTAAAACGCGAAATAAGGCGATGGTGGCTTCAAAAATGTTTTACGTATGGCCACAACACAACGCCGGTTGTCCACGGAAGAGTTAAATTAAGTTTATAGCATCCCGATCCCACGCACTGTCACTTTCCAGTCCTTCCATTGTAAACAAAGATCGCTGAGCAAAAATGCTCGCACCCAGGAGGCTACAACTGTGAACTGATGACACTAAATGCTACATATTGCAGATATGGAACTTAACTTAGGTCCATATTGATGAAAATTGAGTTAGTCCTATTTATGAGCTCAATAAGTTGCGTTTTTATCATTTTAAAAGGTAGCCTATTATAAACCATGATTCAAGCAATAGGTGATTATTACATTAATGCTACAAGGCTGGGAAGAAACTTTAGATGTTTACGATGTGAACATGATAGTATCTGCGCAAGACTTGCCGACTGACCGAATACCAAATAAGATTTTTTATACTCTAGTGGATTGCTTGATTTAAAGAACTTAGGTACCGGTAACTTAGATGCTGAGATTAGAACTGGGATCCCTGATTCTTTTTTATCCCCCATAGCTCTCATAAGACTTAACTTACCCTCCCAATATAAACAATTAATTATCGAGCTAAGAACTAACATGAAAAGCAAAACACAATACTTTGCTGCATTGATATTTAATGGGACTTTTTGAAGAATTTTGATTAGCTTAATTTGATAAATCCTCTTGAGAAGAGAGAGGAAGGCTGGAAATAAGTAGGTACCGGAACCCTATTTGTATTTTGTAAATTGTAGCCTATTTAACAAATGCTGTAACCTAATGTAGGCCTAATTTGTTAGCTAGGCCTAAGTTTTAATACAACATTATTTATTTTATTAAGTTTTTTCCAGTAACATAACCTACACATGCTTTTCAATTTGTCTTTAAACAAGGATTATTAATTTTTCACTTACCGGTACAAGGATGTAGGTAATTTTTTTTCATATTCATCTTTTGAAATAAACTAGCAAATAAATGCCAAACAGGTTCAGTAAGGAAATAAATGTTGATATTTTTATTTAGGTTTGTTGTCAAACGCTGCTCTTCAAGTTCAATCTCATAATAGGCGAAAGCACATATTAATTTACCTCTTCTCCATTGATTTCTAGAATAAAATGGTAACTGCTCTTATTGAAGCTTACAACATCATTCCTTCGATGAAATGCATCGACTCAGTCCCTGCAACAGAAGATGAATTGACAAGTTTCCATGCTCAAAGTTACATAGAATACTTGAAATCTGTCGAAGATGATGATGTGGAACCTGAGTCTCATCTTGAATTTGGATTAGGTATGTTTAAATACCATATGATTTTTTAGGCTACGGTATTACAGATTTTAACTCATCAGGAAGCTCACCAGCAGATGCTGGGGTGCTAACCCTAATGTCCTCAGAACCTCAGCTTTAGCGCTCAGTGTGTCGGCTGCAGAGTACGCTGCACCAGTATGGAAAGCATCGTTACATGCAAAAAAGGTTGACATTGCAGTCAATGACATGGCTCAGTTTGTAACAGGGTGTTTGAAACCAAACCCCGTACACAAAGTCTATCCTATCGTAGGGATCGCCCCTCCATCAATCCGACGTGATGTCGCTGCCGAAGCAGAAAGGACTAAGCAAGAGACAGACCCTCGTGACCCATTACACGGCCACCAACCTGCAGAGCGACGGCTTCGGTCCAGAAAGAGCTTTTTATCACGGACACGAGTCCTGGATGGATCACTTTCAAGAAATCGGGTGGCAAGGTGGTGGGTCACGTTGACTAACCCTCCCATACCAGCCAGGGAGTAACTGGCTCCTGGGGGAGGCCTTCATTACACGGTGTGGAAGACCCTAAATCGAATCAGGGTTGAGGTACCGAAATGCAAGACAAACATGCAGAAATGGGGTCTCTTACCAGACGAAGAAAACATCTAGTGCGTTTGTGGTGCTGTTCAGGATCCTGGCCATCTGCTGATCTGCCCACGCCTAGACCAGTCTTGCACATTAGATGATCTTTAACTAGCAAATGACAAAGCCATATCGGTAGCTAATTTTTGGAAAAGCAAAGTCTGATTTCCGGACACGGAAAGTAAGTACTAGAATCTCACTTCTACACCAATGGTGGAGAATTATTAAGCTGCGGACACCAGCAGGTAATTTTATTTGAACAAATAGTGGAACTATAATATGGTAATGTACTTAGTTTAGAGTTTGGGGTTGTTGTTCTACAAGAACTCCAAAGATCCTAACACAGAGCTAACTCTGCCTAAGGCAATCAAATACTTGAGAAATAAAGGTTTTTAAAACCTGTTAGGCAAGTAAAATTTCAGGAATTTTCATTGGTATTGAAAATTAAGTTAATTTTAAGCTTAATGCTGACAAACATATTTTTACCTTACTGCATTGTGACAGCACACTTAAATAGTTTATGATGTAAGAACTAAGAAGGTGAGTATGAGTAAACAGATTAGGCCTATATGAATGCCAAAAATTGGCAAGTTAGTTGCAAATTAGGGGTTTTTTTTAAGAGGTTGGCGGCCTCTTTTAACCTTGTCCAAATAGACTAAGCGCCCGTGCGTGGATCGTTTACAGCAAAGCAAGGAGTGAGCCGGTACAGTACAAAGGTGAACTGTACTGATAAAATGTTATCGACAGTGACCAAGATCCGAACCCACGACATCGCTGCCTTGGGCCCGAAGACTGCAACGCTACTGACTGAGCCACCGACTCACTTATATAAAAAACGGTGGTTAAAAACGGTAGTGTAGTTTTGATATGAAATTCTTCCATTAATATTGTGCTAGCTGGCCAGTACTATCCCTCGCCTGATGATCAGAAGGTTGCCAAATCAAATACCAAAAATTGGTTGCTTTCTGATTTAGTATGGCTCTATAGATGATCTCAATCAATTCTAAACTTACCGTGCATTCATATTGAGCTGACATTTGGCACCCAGGAACGTATTTCTATCATAAGCTATGATTTAAACGAATAAATCGTGTTTGTTTCCAATTTTTCCCAATCTTAATACCCCAATCCTCCCAATTAATTAATTTAATTTTCCCAATCTTCCTAAATAAAGTCTCCGTACGAAAAAACTATAAAATGCAACTAGTGTAAAAACACACTTTATAAGCTAAGAAATGACCGACTGGTGATACTCTTGATTATAAAAACAGGTGATACATTTGATATGGACTGAGTCTATTCAATTTAGGCTACGCTAACAAAGTTTAAGCTTGATACTATCGCTCATATTTTAATAAGCTGTTGTCCCTTGATCATTGGTTTGTATTGTTTACGCAGGGTATGACTGCCCTCCACTCCCAGATCTATATAGATTCGTCATTAGTATCGCCGGGGGAACGCTTACAGCTGTTAGACAGCTGACTAGTCGCAGAGTGCAAGTGGCCGTGAATTGGTGCGGTGGCTGGCATCACGCACAGAGGTCTGTCTTGTCATGTGGGTAACGCTTGATGCTATTTTTTAAAGCTTACTTTTATTTATCTTATTTTTAACAAATGAAGGTTTTTGAAAAAATATCTCCTAGCTTGTTTTATTGAAATTCCTGTTGGTCTGTGTACACACAAGCCTCCATATTGATTACATATTTGGTAGGTTGATTGAATTTAAGTTTAAATACCCCCGCCGCAGCACACCTGCAGATTAAGCGAATTTCCACTATTCAGATTGGCTTTTCACTCAAATATTTCCCTAAACTAGAAGTAAAAATGATTTTCTTTCTAAAAAATATTAGTAAAATAATCAAAGCTTAAGTTAGTATGAAATGAATAATTTTAACTCTTAGACATCCCAGAAACAAAAGAACCCTGGGCCAATTCAAGCCGCGCAGGTTTGAAGTGTACGCCACACCTTCCGGCGCAAACCACGTGATCTTTCCGTTTCTGTGCAGGTTGTTTTGTTCTTGGGATGTCTATAATCAAAACTTATCCATAACCAAGCAAACTGCAACAGTTTACTTATTATTCTTGATAAGAAAAACATAGTTAGCCTAACTCCAATTTAGGTATTTTAGAATTTTCTCTGTAACCAATAAGCATCTTACAACAATGCGTCAATAGACTAAAATATCAAACTCTATGACGATACTTACTATATGCATATCATGTTCGTCAAATTTGCGTATTGATACCCTTAGCATCATACTGTATGATGGAGGATACATTTCTAGGTTAACTGTTTGTTTCAGTTATCAGGTTACATCTCAATTTGTAGCCGATTTAAAACCTTTCATAAACTTTATCTTGATTCCAAACACTCAAATGTTTTTTAGCTTTATTCACATTTCCATCACACCCGATGTCATATTTCTATAATCTATTACCTTGATCCTTACTACGGACTTATGTATATATAAAATAATTCAAAAATATCCAATAGAAAACAATGTTTATTGAAAAAGGTTTCATAGTTGATGCCCCAGGATCTCCTAAGTCAGGTGTTTCTTGATACGTCTTTCAATTCAATTTGAAAACTTTCTAAGGTTCCTGTTGCTTAGGCTCGTGATAGGTTATGTTTCGTCAAGGTTGGGTATTTCTTGTCAAGGTTGGGTATTTTTGTCAAGGTTGGGTATTTGTTGTCAAGGTTGGGTATTTGTTGTCAAGGTTGGGTATTTGTTGTCAAGGTTGGGTATTTGTTGTCAAGATTGGGTATTTGTCTCCACATGGTGTTTCTTTTCCTTTCGTTGTTGCATTTTCAAATGTCTGCTTCATTTTTCCTTCCTCTGCAGCACCTTCACCCCCAGATGTTGTGGGGGTGGGAGAAAGGTCTTGTCAATCTATTAGAGCAGGTAACGGATGAAAGGAGCTGGTGGAGGTGGTCAATCGAATAACTTACCAATCAAATAACTGGTCCAAAATCCAACTTATTGTCACGAAAACACCCACACCTGCCAGCACCACCAGAATACGAATCACGTCCATTGCTTGTTTACTGTTCAGAAATATTCAACTAAGAGTAAATTTTTATTGATGCCACTTGTAAGATATATCTCTGTAAAATGATTTGTCTCTATGGATACTTAGTTCTTTGTTGTATTTTAATTTTGTCTATAGCAACTACTAATATATCTAATTGAAGTGAGTGGATTTTAAAATGTTTACCTACCGGTACAAATTTGTTTACCTACAAGTTTACCTTAAACTTTAATCTGATACCCCCGCCGTAGCAAACCTGCAGACTAAGCAAATTTTAACTTGTCTGATTAAATTTTTACTAAAATAAGACATACTTATTCCCAATTTAAATAACATTAGATTCAACGAGTGCTTAGGTTTGCTGCTAGGGGGAAGGTAAAACGTGTTTTTTGGCGATACGTCAATAGTTAAGGCTCAGAAAATAAATAAATTTGCCAAATTTTATCAACATACATCCATAAACAAGTAAACTACAACAGTTTTTATTTTCTCCATAAGAATAACATATGGGAATTTAAAATTACACTTTTTTTTCTCCGCAACCGTTAGGCGTACAATAGTGCTTCAATATACTAAATTATTTCTTTTTTTAAGCTTTACAAAATGGTTTAGGAAGAAATTGCAGAATTTTGTTTTTAGGGTCAAAAATGGGAAAAGCCCATTTTTACCCCATAAACCCCCGTTCCCATGGCCGGATTATGCTGGTTTGCAAACTCGCTCGAACAAACGTAGGTTTACACGTTTGTACCAAATTGGTGGTGTTTTTTTACCTCTGGGGACCTCAAAACAAAAAAGTAAATTGGTCCCGGGTCCAGGTCTTACCATGAGACCTACGGTAATAGCTTATTCCCTAAATGGGAAATTCCCTAAAAAGAGATGGCCTTCATAGCCCATTCAGAGTTGGCATAGGTGTATTTGATATTTTTAATTAAAGGCTTTTCCGCCAGGGATTTGAACTAATACGGTACTTTCGTATTGCATGGCATTCAAGTGTTTTGTCTTTGGACTATGTTGGTGCATTTTACCTCCATTTAAACTGTATTGGTTGATAGAACATTTTGTTCAGTTTTATGTTCTTAGTTCCCATAGTGAGTATACCAATGGGATCAGCTAGGGGCTGTTGATTAACGCTTACAGTTTGAAATTGTTTAATCTGTGGTGTTCGTGTATGTTATAATTTTACTTTATATGTAAGGTCAATGAATGAAAAGTTGGCTTTCTAATAAGAATGAAAATTATAAAATCATATTAGGTTTAGAAAAATTAATTTTGCATGCATGGTCACAATTAACCAGAACATTTAGTGAATGTAAAGCCAATTTGTACAATTGGATTCCTATGATAAATTTTGAGGAGAGTGTAGCTTATTGGAATTTATAAAAAACCTTTTCTTACATTCTTACCCTTTACAAATTACAATCATAGACCAATAGAATAAATAGACTGTTAAAGGAAAATTCCGATGTGCCACTAGAGTGTGCTCGGTATTCAATTCGCTGACGTCGTCGGCTACTTGCTGTATGCTACTAGCAGACACTGCAGCGGTGTGCTCCATAATTACACCTAGCAGTGTACGCCAGAACATATCCTAACCGCAGCACTGCTGTCAGTCTATATTTAATTATTTTTCTCTATGGCACAATGCTGATAATACACGGGATTCTATTAGAGTATACAAAGGTTGACATCTTGACAATAGTTAGACTACTGCACACTTGAACTACCCTTTATAATTACAAGTACTTTCTGTGACCTCATTTTACATTTTGCTTTACAGAGACGAGGCCGAGGGTTTCTGCTACATCAATGATATTGTACTTGGGATTGAAGAGCTGAGGAAAGAATTCCCTTATGTGTTATACATAGATCTCGATATACACCATGGTAAGAAAACTTCATCTTCCTACAACTTTTTCATGTATATTTACATAAATATGATTACACCATTGAGGTTACTTATTAGATAACAAAATTGTATTGCCCTATTTTGGAAGAAATAAATCTTAATTTGTCAAAGAATCTGTACGGTTTAGAGAACCATACCTGGTATTTAATTCTAAATAAGATAATTTATTTAATACTAAAAATTAGGCAGATATGTCCTGTTTACGTCGTGACATCGTCTCAAACATTCTTTAGTATATACTGGCTCACCCATGTGCAAAGCAGGCGCAGGAGTGCTGCTGCTGAAATTTATCACAGATGGATTGATTTTCTGCAGCATCTTAAACAAGCACCTGTACAATGAAGATGGTTATCTCTTGTCTAAGTCTAGTAATCTCACGCTACTCTTGTCTAGTCCAGTTTGCAATATTTTTATTTAATATTTCATCAGCCTTTCAATGACGATGGAATGGGTTAAAAATCTTGGCTAGACCAAAATTTAAATTTGTATTATACAATCCAGATACAGGAAAAACCAGTAAAAGCATCGGTAACCTATCATCGATGTAAAAACATTTAGCATCAATAGAAAAATCTGTTATTGATGCTCATCCCAAATGCACAGGCTACAGGCATGTGCAGGAGCAAAGATGTTAAAAGTTCTTATGGTTGCCTAGGTAACGGAGTGGAGAACGCATACAGCTACACCAGGAGAGTGTTGACTCTGTCTTTCCACAAGTATGAGCCGGGGTTCTATCCGACGACAGGAGCTCTAACAGACAGAGGCGAGGGTCCTGGGATCCACTACGCAGTCAACGTCCCTCTCAAGGAAGGGCTCACAGACTCGGACCTCATACTGCTGTTTGATAAGTTAGTGTTTGAATCAGTCTTTACTTGTATTGAATAATTTCCAGTGGGGAGGAGGATTTTGCCTTATTTTTACAGTAATCTAATAAAATTGCCGTTATATCACATTTAATGTCGTTTCAGAGTGAAAGAGTGACAAAAGAAAAAAATTATTTCGCTCGACATTTCTTACACGCCATCCTAATTTAAACGATCCATACCGTTTAACTAGCGATAGTAGTAGTATTGTTGTGAATAACTGAACCTTTTTAGAAAATAAGGCTTTAATAAACTTAAATTGTTACATAGTTGTCAAGGTAAACAAATCTCTAATACAAACAACAAGTAAATAAATACTTCAGCTGATTACTAAAAACAGTAATTCATAACATTCTCCCCCTCAAAATTTAAACAATGTAATCAGCGAGGTAACTTGGTGGTTTTCTTGATCTTTTCGGCCTTTCTAGAGGTTGGTTTTCTTCAGAGTCTTGTTCAGGAATGAAGTTCGGTTGATAATCATCATTTGGTTGATACTCATGGTCTTGGATATCAAATGGAGTGACATTCTGTTCTGGATTGACATTTGGATCTGGATTAATGCTCGGCTCTGGAATGACATGTGGTTGTGATTCATCTGTCACCAGTTGAGGATTTTCTTTTAGCGTTGGAAGGACTTGGTCTTCTAGTAGACTTACATCCCCCCTTGGAGAAAGGTGCTTGAGGGATACAGTTGACTTTCTTCCATCATTGTGTTTAACCAAGGCATAATGAGGGTTAGCATCCATCAGTTCTACGACATGTGGTTGTGATTCATCTGTCACCAGTTGAGGATTTTCTTTTAGCGTTGGAAGGACTTGGTCTTCTAGTAGACTTACATCCCCCCTTGGAGAAAGGTGCTTGAGGACATATCACTGCAGGGATATGCGAAAGGGAAGCGTGAATATTCATCGATTATAGTCAATAGATATCGATTACGTGTGCAAGATGGCAAAGGACCCTTAAAATCTACATTTAGTCGCTCAAAAGGTTTTGTGGCCTTGATCAGGTGAGCATTTGTAGTTTTGTAGAAACGAGGTTTAATCTCTGCACACATTGGGCATTTGTTAGCGAATTTCCTTAAAGGGAAGTAGCTATTACCGTAGGTCTCATGGTAAGACCTAAGCCCGGGACCGGTTTACTTTTTCATTTTGATGTCCCCAGAGGCCAAAAACACCATTCGTTCAAATTTTTATATATCTAAAAATCCATCCACGATAACTTGAGTAATTTTTGTCCGATTTTGATAAAATTTGGTTTGAAGGTGTAAGGCGGGATAAACTTGAATGAGTTCGCGAACCAGCATGATCGGATTATGGGAACGGGGGTTTATGGGGGGTTTTATGGGGTAAAAATAGGTTTTTCCCATTTTTGACCCTAAAAACACGAAATTTCACAATTTATTTTTAAACCATTTTGTAGAGCTTAAAAAAACAAATAATTTAGTATATTGAAGCGTTATTATGCGCCTAATTGTTACGGAGAAAATTTAAAAAAATTGTAATTTTAAAATTCCCATGTTATTCTTATGGAGAATAAGTCAACTGTTGTAGTTTGCTTGTTTATGAACATATTTTGATCAAATTTGGAAAATACATTAATTTCTTACTAAACCACAGTACCTTTTAACATTTTTCATTAAAAAAAACTTTTTTACCCTCCCTGTTGCAGCAAACCTAAGTACTCATTAAACGAATTCTGTTTAAATAGGGAATAAATGTGATATTTTTAAGGAGACATTTTAGTTTAAATCCAATCAGGCAAATGGAAATTCGCTAAGTCTGCAGGTTTGCTGCGGCGGGGGTATTTGTCATTGTTTTAACATCCTCAACTGAGTAAGGGAGGTTTTTACTTTTTACCCAGTGGTACATCCTAGTGATTCCAGGGTGGCAAAGTGACTGGTGAAGTGCAAAAAGCTTGTCATCACAATTTATGTTTGTGACAGCTCCACAAACGCGTGAAAATGCATCTGCGGTGATGTTTTCTTTGCCTGGTCTGTACTGTATGTCAAAAGAATAAGGTGACAACTCAAGACGCCATCTAGTGATTTTCTCATTCTTTATTTTACTAGTATGCCGACTGTTGAACACAAACGACAAAGCCTGTTGATCGGTGATTAATAGAAAATGTCGCCCAATGAGGAAATGTCTCCACTTCTTTAGAGATTCGACTATGGCTAGGGCTTCCTTCTCAATAGAGGAATGACGTTTTTCACAATCGGTCAATGTTTTTGAAAAGAAAGCGACAGGTCTACCCTTTTGACTTAAGGTTGCAGCGATAGCAAAGTCAGATGCATCTGTTTCCACAACTAATGGAGAAAGATCATCAATCACGGTAAGTATTGATTTTCCTATGTCTTGTTTAATTTCCTGAAAAGCCAAAGCTGGCAAAGATGAGGGCAATATAGGAAAAGATTTGCAATCAATCAGAGGCCGAATCTTGTTTGAGAACTTGGGAACCCACTTTGAGTAGTGAGAAAATATTCCTAATGCACGTTTTAATTGAGATGCATTAACTGGCAATGGCAAATCTAACAAGGGTTTCAGACACTCTGGATCTGCTTGCATAGACTGGTAGCGAATTTGATATCCTAAGATTGATATTGTGTCTTGAGAAAATTTGCTCTTCTCATTGTTTAGAGTAATATTATATTTCTTAGCTACCTTTAAGAATTTATTCAGCCTTTCATCATGTTCTGACTGAGTTTTTCCGGCTACGGTTATGTCATCAATGAAAGCCCACACCCCTTCTAGTTCTTCAGTGGAAATAATCTTATCAATCGTGCGCTGAAAAGCAGACACACCATTTGTCACACCAAATGGAACCCTACAGAACTGATAAAGTTTTCCAGCTGCCTCAAATGCTGTGAAGCATTTTTCATGTTCCGATATTGGTATTTGATGGTAAGCCTCCTTTAAATCTATAGTACTGAATACTTTATTTTCTGCTATTTTTCTAGCTATGTTTTCAATATTAGGCAAGGGGTAGGCATCTAATAGGGTAAACTTATTTATAGTTTGACTATAATCTATTACTAATCGCTTTTTATGAGATGAGCTTTTGGTAACAAGCACTTGTGCACACCAGGGAGATGAACTTTCTTCAATTATACCACTTTGAAGGAGTTTTTGCACTTCAGAGTTGATGAACTTTTCATCATCATTAGAATACCTACGAGACTTAGTTGCAATGGGCTTGCAGTCAGGTGATAGATTATGAAAAAGGCATGGTGGTTCCACAGAAGCACAGGCAACATTACAAATGGACAGAGGTAACTTATCTCCTCCAAAATCTAGGTTCACTGAAGAATGCAGTTTCATTATATCATGACCAACCAATATGTCAGTGCACAGATTGTCAATAACAAACAGTTGTACTCTCTCATAGTTATGGTCAGAGAACTCTAAGTTCACATTAACATAACCTTTTATGGGTGACTTTAGGTTTGTGGAAGCCATAGATACCTGTTTCCGTTCTGGAATTACATGAAAACCATTTTCAATTACCACAGCTCGGTTTATAAAACTATCGGTACTTCCAGTATCAACCAAAACTTCAACAGGTATTTTATTTGCATAACCCCGCACAACTGCTTTTGACAGTCCATTGGAGGCAGCTGCACATGAAAGCGTGGTTACTACCAAAGAAGAGGCATTAAAGGTCTTACCTTGAGTTTTCACCAACCTGCATACCTTCACAAAATGTCCCCTTTTCTTACAACCAGAGCAAGTAGCATCTTTGGCAGGACAGTCGTTTCGAGTAAAATGACGCCTGCCACCGCAGTAGAAACACTTCTGTTTAAAGTTTTTTGCTACAGAAGCTGAAGTAGGAGACTCTTCAGGATCTATATTTTCATCCAGTTGATCTGGTAGTGTTGATGAAGTGTTGCAATATGTGACTTCAATTTGGTTTGAAGATCCATATGCTTCACAGCTCTTCTGTGCAGACTCAAGTGAACGTGAAATGTCCTCAGCTTCTTTTAATGTCAAGGACGGTTTTTCTGGTAGTCTTTGTCGAATATGGGGGTTCATAATTCCACTTATAAAGGCATCTCTAACGGCTTCATCTCGATAAGTATTTCCATCTATGGCACAAAAATTGCAATCCTTACTTAGAAGTTTAAGTTCTTGTAGATACTTGTCTATGTTTTCTTCTTTCTTCTGCTTGCGGTTTGCTAGCATGTGTCGAGCATAAATTTCATTCTTCTTAGGATTATAAATAGTTTGCAAAATTTCAACTGCTGACTTAAACGTGGAACATTCAGAAATATACTCGTAGACATTGTAAGAAAGAAAATTAATCAACACGTTAAGTTTCTTCTCTTCAGTAACTGCTGAGTCAGATATGAAATTTTCAAGTGTCCTGAACCAGTGTTTGAATGCTCTACTTGCAGAAGGATTTTCAGGATTAATATCAAACCTGTCTGGTTTTAAAAGTTTTTCCATTTTGATTTTGATTATTTAATTATTTTAATAAATTTAAGTTTATTAAATTTGTTGTGAATAACTGAACCTTTTTAGAAAATAAGGCTTTAATAAACTTAAATTGTTACATAGTTGTCAAGGTAAACAAATCTCTAATACAAACAACAAGTAAATAAATACTTCAGCTGATTACTAAAAACAGTAATTCATAACAAGTATTTATCCCATTTCCATATTAAAGTTGAAGCCAGTTTTCAGATGAAAATTAGCATAATTGAATTAACACATTGCGTGCGTGTTACCGCCCGGGCGGTAGGTCCGCGCTCCGCCACGCTGCGGAGCGGTAGTGTGAACCCGCCAAACTTATTCGGTTTGAGTGCAGCCGCACTCCGGGGTAGGTCGGAGTATTTTTTCCGTGCTTCGTGTATGGCAGTGGTAGTTTTGTAGTGCAATCCGTTTGTAATTATCGTTACTCGTTCCGAAACTATACCTGGTGGATTTTGACTCACTCATTCCGTTTGTTAACTGTAATTTTGTGCTATATTAGTGTGTTTTATTGTTAAATAATGGCATCTACTGTGGGTGTTTAGCAAACTACGTCGACTCTTGTCATGAAACAATACATTACCATACGTTATTTGATATTCGTCATACCAAAATATGAAAGCCAAACACCCGGCAATCGGGTTTGTTCGACGCTGCGGGCTGCGCCGCACTGGGGCTATGCCTGCTATTTGATGGGCCGCAGTAAACGTGTTAAGCCACTGACAGAGGGAGTTGATTTCAATTACTGATTCTGTAGAATATGTTAACTTATCAACCAATTGAAACTGAAATAACAACTTACTGTTAGTTAACTATATCATAGCACCTTGTGTCACATCAAGTATAAAAGTCAAAGGATAGAAAAATTGGAGGGAATGGTAAGAATATAACTTTAACTGTAGCACACTCTTTGAAGGAATAGCTTATCTAACTACAGTAGAACTCCAAATATCCAAATTGTCGATTATCCGAATCCTTAATTTAAGCCATAATCGCATCAAAATCTCCTGCTGTCAAGTAGACATCATCGTTGTCTCCTGCGGTCATGAAAATCATCATAGATTCCCCCAAGCTCAGAAAAATCTGAAACATCTTCTGCGGTCTTTTAAACATCATTGTCGTCTCCTGAGGTTACGGGAAAACATCATCGTCCTTCGCAATAACGGCAAAAGCATGAATTTTTCGATTGCAAAATATTTGCAGACACATTCTGCCATCGAGATATTAAAAGCTTGACTTAATTCGGCCTTTCTTCTATAAAATACCTCACAATTTGGCAAGAATCCAATCGGCCAAATGTTTGAATATTCAAAAATAAGGTTCGGTCCCTATTGATTTGGATAGATAGTTGAAGTTGTACTCTATGTTGTAGTATTTGAATAAAAATGGTTACAGTTGATTAATATGAATAGGATGTCTTTTGTATCCTAAAATAGAAATTGCCTTTTCCCTGTAGTATTCAGGCAATAGATTTATCAACAATTAACTGATCCACAATAATCACATACTGTTCCTTCGAAAATGAGTTGAAAACTTTCTTATTAACTTATAGGCAATTGCTAATAGCTGATTCTGTAGCCACAATCACTTCAGGCATACCTCTCTAGCACCAATCACCCCTTAGTTACAGTGCAGTTTTTTAGTTTATTAATTTTCACAAAAGTGTTTCTAAAGCCTGATACCTGTGACAGGATAGCTGTGGTAGCCAAGACCAGGTATTGTCCAGATGCTGTGGTGGTGCAGTGTGGGGCAGATGGCCTCACAGGAGACCCTGTAGGTAACTGGAACCTGACTCCTGTAGGACTAGGTCACTGTTTGTCTACAGTCTTGTCCTGGAAACTTCCCACCCTGGTGCTCGGCGGAGGTTAGTATCGCCACTACTTACTTATTTTAAATTTGATGAATGTGACTTTAAATTAGGCCTAATGTATAGTCCCACTTATCAAAACTAATTGGGTGTGAACCCTGTTTAGATAAGATGGAATTTGGGATGATTGGATTTATTTAATACCTAATATCAACGTTAAAAGTTTTGACTGTTAAGTGGTAATATCAATTGTTGGGGGAAAGCTGTCATGATGTTGCTGCCGAGTTCATAAGTAGAAGCAGCCAGTGATACTAAGCACACGTGACACGTTGCACTCGTTGTATATTTAAGTTTAACGTAATTTTGTGACATGCAGGAGGATACAACAAGGCCAACACAGCTCGTTGTTGGACTTATCTCACATCTGTCATATGCAACAAGAAACTACCAGATGAAATACCAGACAATCCTGTAAGTAGGTTATTTCAGACATGTTAAACTTTATATAGGCCTATTTGTAGGCATGAAACTTTTTCTGTTTAAGTAGGCGGGTTTCCTAGCTGCCTTATGACTTCAGAGTTCCAAATTTCACACAAGTGTTTTAGTGTTTCCCCGAATATTTCAGGTCACAGCCCCTACCGAACTTGGCAATAAGGAAAATGACTGTATCTGACCCTTGTGCTGTGAGTTGGTACTGAAAAACGCAGCCAGGAAAATTTGCTTTATGCCACATAATACTAGGCATTGATATTAACTCTGACCTGTTAGTTTCCTCGTTAAAAATTGGTCAAGTATTAAAGTCAATTACTCTGTAATTTATTAACCCCAGTCTATTATTGCTGGATAGGTAAAGTTTAGCAATTAAGAGTGTAGTATTTTTTTTAGACAATCGATAGGAGATAAATGGATGTATCCACTAGTCACAGTAGTCACCATTTTAATCATTGTTTCTTTGTCTAATGGGTTTTCGTTTTTACCCTTACACCCCAGTGAGGGTTCCAAGGGAAGGGCTACAGTGGCTACAGCCCCTCCTATTGTTTTTTTCAAATGGAAAAATAAATGTAAACATATTTTGTCTTCTAAAAACGTAACAGAGGTTTTTGGACACAGTTTTAGATGTAAAAATGGCTTTGGGAATTCAGAAAACTGCTTATAAATACAAAAAATTTCAGTAGAGGTCCTCTAGACCTAACCTTCTTTTCTTGGTGGGGGGGTTTGTGGCATACCCCTTTAAGGTAGCCCTCCCTTTACAAGGTCGCAAAACCGCCACCCTTACCCTTATCAGTCTCTTAAAGTTTTCAACCAAGAGAATAAGCTTTAACACTCGTTTACAGTATTTTTCAGAATTCGGACCAGGATTTGATCTGGAGATTCTACCCAGCAATGCACCTAATATGAACAAAAACCTGGATCAACTCATAGATGCTCTCTTAGGTGAGTAGAGTTGTGAATGACGCTACAATTTTGTAAACTAACCCTTACTGTGATCTTGATCTTAAAGATTTGTCAATGGTCACCTTATGAATTTGTAAATTTATAATTTCTTGAAAAGTGTTTTAGTTGATTGTCTGTTTGATCTAATAAACGGGATCCTTTTTTTTTTGTCAGCCAATTATTCTCATATGATGATGGAATGTGGGTGTATGTAGCGTTATGTAATGACCGTGATGATGTGATACGGTACTGTGAGACTTATTTAAGCATGCTGATTCTGCTACCAAATGATTTACATGAAAGACGTGTTGGGGACCAGAGGATGGAGATCTTTTACCCAGGCCGGAAGCTTGCATAGCCAGCTTTGATTTATACAACTAATTTACTTAAACTGAGATGAAATGTGGAAACTTACTGGGGAAAACGTGTTACCCTTTTCATGTTGTTACCTGTTTCATGGCCTTCAGCCTTGGACGGTAATTAATTAATTCCTACACAACCAATGTCGGGACGACTGTTGTAGGTCTCTCCCCTTTTGTTTGCTAACTAGCCTGACATTACTAGGGTATTTAATTCCTAACATATATAATTATTCTAGGGACTTAGCCATTTATGTAGGGTTCCAGATGATCAATTTTCAGAGTCAGATTCTTGAGAGGACCGGCGAATAAGTGGGAAGAGAATTGGAAATGTAGGTGGGGGAAGGCGTTCGCTTGCTTGCGGTGGGCTGACGAGTTTGTTATGCAGCCCTGCCATGCGAAGCGCTGACACTATAAGAAATATAGCGTGTCGCTATGCGTCACAAGTCCAGGGATTATATTGAATTATTAAAGGATTATAAAAGACTAGTTCTTGTCAAGTTCACAAGGTTGACATTCATTACGTCAGTGACAACTTCTGTAAATTCACCCTACTCATGAGAACTAAGTTGCCTTCTACCTCTAGACAGAAGGAGCTCTTGGTTGAGTGGATCATTGTCGCTTTATCTTATATTTTGGTTACACTGGTGGTATTTTATTCCATTTGTTATATTATTCCATCTTTATTTTTTTGTATCTTTCTTTTTCAGTGTATTTACTAAATAAAAGTTAGACATGTGTTTTGTTTGTTTTAGAAAACTTGGCTGATATTGAAGATCAGCATTGAAACCAATCACTGTGATAAAATACTGTGAAAAAAAAATATAAAAAAATGTTGTAAGGTTTATTTTTTTGGTATCATTAACACCCAATGTGTTTTCAAGCAGAACCAAGGAGTCAGACCAAAATGGCAAAATGAAATCCACCTGATTATTTGCTACCTAGTACCATAAAAATATATATAACGGTCTTTTATAAGTTTGGATCAAAAGCGTTCAAAATGAAGAGCGGTTTTGTGAAAGAGCTATCCTCTCACTCTAAAGCGAACCACATTAATAATATAGGCTAAACAGTATCATTTTGAAGAGAATGGATGAGGATGAAGAGTTAAAGTGTACAAGTAAATCGGTTCAGAAATGAAAAATGGTGACAGCACTGCATATTCAATGGAATTTCTGAATTCTCTCTTTAAATGTCCAGAGTACCAACACAGGTTATAGAGTTGAAGGTTGAAGGCTGTGCTGGTTCTGCTCATGTGCAATCTGGATGAACCGACACTGCAAATATACAAGACTACATGTAATTGAGCTGGGTGCAACGGTGTCAAGTATGTAATAATAGGAACTAGACCGCCCAGTGGTCGAAAACTCAACCAAAAATAAATAATGTACTGACTCCACTATTTTCACTCCATGCTGTAAATAAAACATGTGATTAAAATTTCTTTTATTTGTTTCGATTTTCTGTTTAGATTTTGTTGTTTTTCATCACCATCATGGCAACCAATAAGGCCCATGTTAACTTTTTGAAATTTAAAATTAGTTTTCTGTGCTTATTTTATTGAGCCTTTTTTAACTTATAAAGGGATTCTGCACTCCTACCGGTACAGGAAAATATCTTTCTAACAGTATGAGTAGATTTTCCCTACGATGCACGCAAGCTGAGAAAAAAGGTTGTAAGAAATCTGTTTGCCTATTAAAAAAAGGATAGAGGGGAGCAAACTGGAGCACGGGACTTTGATCCTTGAGGTCCTAGATTAAAATCCCGTCAATCACCAATGGATTTATCAAAGTGATAATGCCACAACCCTCTTAAACCTAACCTGAAGTAATGAGAAAAACAATTCCAGGCTAGAGCCTAAAGGAATAGAAAAAGGAGACAAGCTATCAATTCCACATACAATGCCAAACATATACTTATCCTTTAAATTCAGAACAGTTCTATTCCACTCAAGGGTGTTCATCATTAAAGCACAGTGCCAAATACGTTTAAGGCTTCATTGTGAATACCATAATTCTTAAATATACGGTTTTATGATGCTCTAGGGATCAAGAAGAAATAATTTGCACATCTTAGCTGAAAACAATGTTGTTTATTGAAATAAATATCTGTTTATGTATTTGAGGCGTTCTATTTCTTTTTAACTTAAATTTATTCCTTCATATTGTGTTACAATATGAAGAAATGGTGCCAAGTTTATAATAAAGAAGTATCTACTTAGAGAATTTTCTTCGCTGTCAAAGCTGGGATTGGTATCTAATGGTATCGCAATTTATGGACATAATCTATATATTAATTTGAAACTGTTTTTCTTTGTCACAGCTATTTTGAGAGAACGGCTGGGCGTAGAAACTCGGTAGAGGTGTCTAAAGAAAGGGCTTGGTCTGTAGATGAGCCATCAAAAGAGAAACGTGGCAAATTCCCTTGGGGCTCTGCCCCAGTGGTCTTTCAATTCCCATCCCATGTTATTCTTAAGGGGGAAAAATGGGTTTTTGTCACAGCTAATTTTAGAGAACGGCTGGGCGTAGAAACTTGGTAGGGGTCTCTAAAGAAAGGTCTTGGTCTGTAGATAAGACCATCATAAGAGAAACGAGGTAAATTCCCTTGGGCATTTAAAGTTCCCTCTTCAGATTTTGTTTACATTACGGACCATATGCATAATTTTACACTACTTTTTAATGAAACAGCTGTTAATATTTAAATTGTGATTTACTGAATTTGTCAAAATGAAGTATTTGCAATGGCTTTTTCTGATTTTAAAATCGATTTTCTTCTGCATCATGTCATGTTTGCAATGTAATGTTCCATTACCAAATCAAAGGAAAATCCTCATATCACAGTAACTCTTAAAATTATTTATCATGGAGTTAATCTATTTTATGGGTTGGTTTCTGCACTTTTTACCACTTCTTAGAGATTGTACGTAGGCGTGTTGCACGTAGACGATATTCTTTTGGCGTATTGCATCTGTAGACGATACTTGGGTTGGTGTATAGTTATTACAATGGAAAAAGTGAGAAAGCCTGGACAATTTGATATACTACAAATAAAACTGAATTAACACTGTGCTACATTTCTTGAGCAATCTTTGAAAGAGCCAATTTGCAAACAATGGATCAACCTTTTGAAGTCCGGGGTGCGGCATTGTTTTCAGTTGAAGTAGACCTTTAAAATGATGTACAACTCAACATAGGCTGTCATTAAAGATTTTCTTCTGACCCCCGACGGGCCGTCCTCCAAAGGTGATATCCAACCACCATGTACACAGAAAAGTAGCTTACAATTTCCAGTAACGGAATACCAAATGTGGTTGTGATATCGGATATCGTTTGTCGTTTAAAAGTTATAAAGTTGTCCTAAGACTTAATGGTCACCCTGTATGACAGGGTGAATCAGTTTTAAAAAGTGTAAAAGTCATTCATTCAAAATTTACAAAACATTTTTTTATAATCTAGAGTATTCTGTTTAAAAAATTCATCATGGAACTACCCAAATGAGGTTACGAAGTCTAGAGTTGAAGAGTCAATCCCCTGTTATGCTGTGAACTTATTTAATATTCCACACCGCTACACTGGTCTAAAGCACCCTTGAAATTTGTATACACACACTCTTCACCTAAAGGATGTTTTTAGAACAAATATTTAAATTAAAATATCCTCTTTAAAATTAGAATAATATTGATTAAAATTGTGTTGGTATTTAAAACTATGCTTGAAAATTAATTTGCATTTCTTCCTGAACTACTAGGAGCTTCATAATAATAGGTTGCTTGCCTAGGCTAAGTTTGATTATTGGCAACTTTAGTTTGGGATTGGAATGGCTTCGTGGTAGTGAGTCTTTGTCAATCAATTGACATTTTAATAAAGACAGCTTTTATATCAGTATTCATATTTATTTGGGATATTTTTGTCAATGTGATTAGTAAAAACATTTAGAACTTAGTATTCAAAACTCAGATTAAGTTAAACCGTTCCAAGTTCTTAAACCCCTTGATAAAAATTACCCTCGGATAGCTATGAATTTTCTTTACATAGGCCTAAATTATTTTTTCCCTTTTTAATAAAAAGTGTATTTTTAATTGTTGTTATCAAGTTCTAACTTGTAAGATAATCAGTGAGTACTACGACTATCCTCAGTACTATCCTGATAATTAGACCAATTCGTATATACCAAAGGCAAAAATGTGGTTCGGATTCCACTATAAACTGTAGGTCCCTTAGTTGCCATTAGCTAGTAATTAATATTGATGCCATTAGTATGGGCTATTAATTAACAGCTGTGTCTAAGGAATAATGTCGGCCTTAGTCACTAACAAGTCTATATGATCACGTCACTCATCTCCATTCATACTTGGCTTAAAATACCTACTTTGTATGGTCGCCATTTCAAAGAAAAGTATTAAAAGTATTTAATTTCATGTTTTCTTGGTTAATATACTAAAGAAATTAGACATGCATAGCTAAGGAGAGCTAACAAATATTTTTAAGAGCAGTAGCATTATTTTCAAAGGGGAGAAAAATACCAAGACAGAAGCCTAGTTTGAAATAATACTTTCTTACCCAACTTGTAAGTTTGTGTGAAAAATGGACCCTACTGATCCCTCTTTCTCACCTACACTGCAAAGCCTTCTTTCGGTTTCTACCAAACTTTAAGTACGGCGGCTTATTGGACCAAACATGATCCTCAATAGAGTCTACTTTTGACATAAAAGTTCTCTTAAAGATACCTCAGGGGCCATTCGATTATAAGAACTCTCAAGTGCATAGCAAAAAATGACAAAGTTAATAATAGTTCCCTGTTAATTTTACTAATTGAGTTTTGGCTTACTCTACCTACTATTCTTGGACCATCACTGTAAATGTTATCTTTAAAATATCATTACAGTTTGTGTACTGTGGAAAACAAATTAAAAGCAATACCTTTAAGGACTATTATGAGCTTGTTCTTCATTAAAATCTACAGTCATAGAGGTAATCAATTAAAATGAATTGTCATTATAGCAATTTTGTTACAACTAAGACATATAATTTATTTTGAGATTTAAAAGTTATGGATTTTGTTTTTAATATATATTAATATGGAATAATGCTAAATAATTTGATGAGAATATTAATTTCTATTTACTATCCTTATACATAAAAGTATCACAGTAACAACAATCTGTAAAAATACCTTCATGAATTACCATGTAATGTTATTTTTACGACTTTTTCCTCAAACCAATTTTACCTCAGCATTTACTCTTAAGTGGCATTCGCTGGGCTTGTCAGAACAAAGCGTAAACGCAATGCGATAAAAAATAAAAGCTGTTACCGAGTTCAAAGTTCACTAAAAGCCACAGTTCGACCAAAACACATTTGTAGCTCCCTTTCCATAAATATTGCAAGGTTGTAAAAGCAAAACCGAGAAGTGCAAATGTGTTTCAATTGCTACCGGATAAACTAGTTTAGAATAGTTTCTAAGTAAAATAACCTTTACTAGTAATTCAAGAGGGAATTTAAAAATTCTATTTGTTATGAGTTGTTTATTACTGAGCAATAATAATTAACTAGTCTTGTAAATGACTGAAAATTAATTAATTTAACACATCTATTTTCATAATAACATCACAATATTTTCATGCATAATACTGTATGTAGGTAGTTTTTATAGTTATTAATCTTATGAAATCCTTCACATTTCAGCAAAATTTATTGTATAGAAACCGGGGATATTTAATAGTGATTTTCTCATAAAACCCCAAAATAACAGACAAATCTATTACAATTTTGTATGACTTAGTCCAGTTTAAATCTAAGCAAAACGGCAAAACCCCCAATGTTGTAAATATTGCATTC